ACAAAAATAACAGGCTTGCACACAAAGCCAAAATAGCTGTCTGTTACAATGCCAGGGCAATGCCTGGAATCAATTTATACCCAGTTGTTCATGCAAGCTTCTCATTGCATGTCATTAAGAACATGGACTGGGTGGAGGTGCTTTAAGTCAGGTTGATCCAGCTTCTGTTGCAGACTACAAAGTCCAGACAAGAAAGGAGCCAATCTAAACAATTTCACATCAAATTAAGAAACTGATGGAAGCGTATAAAAAAAAGACAAAAAGGATCAAAAGCTTTTGTCTTTGTCACTTCATTTATGAATACGACGTTCTTCTTAAAAATATACCAGAGGAGAAAGCAAAGAGAAATACAGCTGACAGGCCTGACTGGAAGGGAGAGAAATTTTCCTCTTTCAGTTGAGGCTAAAAAGCTGATGGTTTCCTCAAGTAAACTGTGGCCTTTGGCTGCCGGCCCAGTCATGCACGGCAGTAGCGCTTTGCCAGTTCTTCCCACTGACTATACGTCGTTGACTGTGTGTGTGGAAAGTAAATGTTTTTTTCCTCTGCCAACAGTTGTGTTCCTCACTTTGGAAATGGAATGCTTACAGTAGACATAATACAAGAAAAGCCAGAGATTTCAGACATATTTGTGTGTGTGTGTGTGTGTGTGTGTGTGTGTGTGTGTGTGTGTGTGTGTGTGTTTTCTTACTCACTTGCTATGAGAAATGAGATTCTGAGATCTTAAGACTAGTTCAAGTACAACTCTATGAACATTTTTTAAAGGCATTTCTACAAGTATCGTCACGAACAAGGTGAAAACATGCTGTATTGCTTTTAGATTCTATTTTACATTATATACATTATAAGTGAAATACATGAATAAATCAAATGAACATAAAGTTATACCACCAAGCTTGCAATTCCCTCTGAACACAAGCAAGAGTTTAGTCAGAAATAAGATAAGATAGAACTTTATTAATCCCTCGGGTGGGTTCCTCTGGGAAATTCGATTTCCAAAAAAGCACAGCACCGACAGAAGTTACAGTTACAGAATATTATATATATTTATACACACACACACACACACACACATATATAAATACAGAGACAAATATAAATAAAATATACAAAGGGGATAAATAGAATAAATAGGAATAAAAATAAAAATACAAGTGAAATAGCCATGGACTAAGAGAGAAAAGCAAACTTTTTCAAAGACAAGATTGTTTTTCTCAGAAAAGCAGAAGCGAATGAAAGTAGGAAAGAATATTTTTGGTGGGTGAACTGTGAGCTGACAAAGCCAAATCTGAAATTTGAGTATGTCCACTGTAGCAGTGTGCTGTATACAGGTAACACTGAGAAACGAATGCTAGTTTAGGAAAAGAACTCGAGCTACCCTCATTTCAGCCTGATGTCTTGTACTTTTAACAGGTCTGTAGGCTTTCTGAAGGTCTTTCTAAACATAATCTGCCACTTCACTCATATTTAGTCCAGTCCTTGTATCTAAACATTTTCAGAGGAATGTCTTTTGTTGTTCGTTTGCTACTTATTACTGACCACTGAAGAATACAAAAGGCTCCTAACATCCTAAAGAATGAAACAGTGTCGTGTCCACACATAACAACTTAGCAAAGAACCAATTTTAAATTGTATTTTTAAGCACTTTGTCACGAGCAGCCTGTCACAAAAAATAATTTGTTTACATTTCTTCATTTGAATCTATGAATCTTGAATCTTACTGCTGCACCAAGAAGGTGATTCCCAAAGAGCTACTACCTACAAACTGTTGGCATGTATCTACAGCAAATGAGCAGCATCCAAAATTCATCTTCTTAAGAAACAGGGCAGGAAAAAAGACGCAGCAAAGCCCTGAAACAACACCTGACTGAAACAGAAATGGTGCCAGCGGAAAGGGCAAAAAGTTTGATGTAGTGATAAATCCAATCTTAACGTTTTTGGTTCAAATTTCAAATTCTTTGTCAGTATGTACAGAGGAGGTCAGGAAAGAGGTCCAATGAGTGTCTACAGCAATCTGTAAAAAATGGTCAGTTACTGCTACATTTTACCCAATGTGGGGGGTCTTGTCAAAATCGATGGCAATAAAAGTAGTGTGAGGTTTCAGTCCACCAAGTATCTGATTGGCAGTGGCTATGTGATACTGAAAAAGAACCACAAAAAATACAGGGTGTATGAAAAGGAATGATTTGATTTCAATGTGCTCTTTACTGCTATTCAGTGGTAATGATCGAAACGTACTGTTAGAGGGGATTTGCAAGTTTCAAGTGGTTGGCAGCGGGTAGCATAACAACAGCACTGACTGGAGACATGGAACAAATTGTGTCCAGAGGCTAACACACTGAGCACTTGTAAACATTTCAAGTTTTGTATTTTAAAATTTATCACAGGTTTCACGTGTACATTACTTTAAGAAAACAGATGATTCTTTTTGATTCACCCTATAGATGTTTTCACCTGTGGTTTGGGGTAAATACCACCCTTTACCACCCCAACATTAGCCAACCTTTAGAGAACGTTTCTTTTTTAACCTATGACAGTGTACAAACAATACAACACTTCAGCTATCAGACCATACTCCTACGTTCAACACATCACACACTGTGTCCGCTTGACTAGAAGCAGCAGCATTTCTTGAGCAAAGAACAACTGTATCAGTTCTTTGAGGCTTAAATTACATGTTGATGTAAGTGACAAACGCCTCTAGTTTAACACAGTAATTACAACAAAAGTAAAGAAGCTGGTCAGATAGTACAAAACCACAGAGTGTCTGTTAGAAATGAGTTGGTGGTGGGAATAAACGAAACAGTGGATTAGACCAAATTACTTCTTCCTCATTCCCAACAGAAAGTCACTGCAATGAAATATTAGTCTTTGATAGACCAAGCCGCAGCAGCTGATCCCAGACCAGTCCCTGAGGATCAGACACATCAGAGCAGCTGCCGATTCAGAAGTGATGCAAGTCTAGAATAAGAAGAAGCTCTCTGACAGCACAGACACACAGACAAACACCAGATCTTGCAACAGCTTGTACATTTGCAAGTCAGCTATAGATGAAAGGAAATTCCACAGGCTTACACCTTCACTCGTGTAACCCGTGCTCCTAACTCCAGCTGCACAGCCCAGCACTCATCTCTCCCACTCAGCTCATTTATGTTCAAGATTTTCTACACGCCTTCATATTCTCTGCTGATATTCTGACAACCACCCCAGCCTGAGTCTCTTTTTGCTAGCACTTTAGTCAGTCTCAGTTAGTTGCATAACCATTTTTGTAAGAGCAGGTCACTCAGAACCAAATGATTTTGACAAGAATGCTACATATTGTACATATGAATGTAAACTGTGGTTTTGTATATGTATATCGAATTAATTGTTGTCCAGAGAGGATGCCGTGGTGATGACAAGTTGAACAGCACCATGATAAGACAGCAGTGAGCCACAGACTCCATCAGGCATCATCACTCCATCAGGCCAAGCACATGTTCCAAATGACTTGCACATTTTGTAGCAGAAACACTTATCAAGATTTAAAGAAGGCAGTACAGACACATGCTCAAGTAATAATTATTTGTATGTCAAAATGCTGACATGAAGACAGTGCAATAGTACGGTGTCATTAACATGGTTTTAAACTGAAATTAGTTTAATCTCATTTTGTTACAGGCTCTAAACAAAAGTGAGCTAACTAGGAACAACTAAAAAACACAGTTACATATTGATATTTGCATTAGGTTTTGAGATCTGAGCTTACTCTGAAATGATGCACCGCCTGGCTTAGATGACCCATTTGTCTCAAATTTGTGTTTGTGTATATCCAAGACATCAAACACTTACCCGAGTCATTTAACTTCTTAATGCAATACACTCTATGTTAAACAAAAACCCAATTTCCTACTCGGAACTGTTTGGCTATGCTCACTATAGTTATACTACAGCTAGCGCTGGCTGTGGAGTTCCACGCATGAACGTTTTGCACGTTTCTCCTGCTAATCCAGCAGCAGAAAATCTTAGTGTTACACATCAGTTTGGGAGATGGCAGTAAATTTTTCCTCTAATTTTTTTCTCCCTTTTTTTGTTTGTTTTGTTTTCTCAATGATGGCTAGCAAATGTGCATGAGCACCACCTGCAGGTGGTAGCGGAATATTGCATCCAACCGTTCCATCAATTTGTTTCACATTCTTTTGTCTCACCCGTTAATGTGGTCTGACAGAGAATGTTACAAACAGTTGTTGAGTGCATGCATAGACAGAAGCTTTGGGGAGCTGTGTTTGAGAAGTTTAAACTTTAAACTACTACTCAGCTACCGCCCGGAGATTATGTAGGATGATGGTCACTACCTGTTGGAGCAGAGTGCAGAGCAGACTCCACTTGCTTCCTCTGGTGGTGAACAGCAGCGCGGGAGTAAAACGTGCTCAAAGGTTTTTTTTGCTCTATTTGTGGCTGAGCTTGTAACATTCTCAGACAGACGTACTGTCACACTCTTGAGCTCAGGTTATATTTTATAGATGCTGCCCACAAATGAAGAGATGCTCCTGGCAGCATCTGAAGGCGCAGCCGCCACAGAGGACCTCTCTAAGCCCGGCTGCGTTCAGAAAGGTGCTCACCACATCACGGCCAGCATTTGTACTCTCACAGTTTCAGCCTGCGGCTTACAGCTGCACGCAGCTGTCGCGGGCTGTTTGGTGGGCAAGTTATGCCGAATGCTGCGCGGTCCAATCAGCACCAAGTGTTCGGGAGTGCTTACCTTTGCCCGCAAGTCGTGGCAGGACGGGCAACGTGCGTTCAGCAAACCTGCCCGGACCCGCTGCTGAGTCCACCTGGTGAACTGCGATCTCCTCGGTAACACGCGATAAGCGCACTTAAAACACATTCACACGCATGTTTTTCCCTGCACACCTGTGGATCGCCGTGACCAACAAATACATAACCCCTCACCACAACCTCACCATGTACAGCTCGCCCACGCCCAGAGAGAGAGGTTAAAGAATCCGTAGACACCTACCTACCTCATACAATCCGTGTCTCGTCCCAGAGTCCGCAAAGGCGCAGGGTGGAGCAGAGCAGTGATGGAGGGAGCGCTCATGTGTCAGCCGGTGTCCCTGTCCGAGCGCATGCTGCAGCGCCCCTCTATTTACTCCAGCTGGAAGAACGACACGCCCACTGTGCGTGTGGGTGGGTGACAGAGAGAGAAAGAGAAAGAAATTTGGAACCATGTTTACATTTTTGTCTGTTTGGAAGCGCTGTGCATGGATGTTGCCAGGATTTTTAAACTGATGTGGAAAAAAAGGTATTAGGAAAAAGTCTATAAATAAATGAAAACATATATAATAAAACGCACAGGCCACGAACTCGTACATTTATTTGTTGTAAGATGTCAATTAGTTTGAAAGCCTTCTCTGTACTGCCAGAAATCATCATCAGGAGATACTGTGTGTCCGTTTAGGTGATTTTAAGACCGCAGTAAAAAGTAATAAAATGTTCATAACTGTGCTTCACACCACAGAGAGGACTTGCATGATTAGGTCTATCTGCAAACTTCAGAACACTTCCCCCAAGTTACTGAGAAAATACATCAAAAATAAGCTGTGTAAAGATCTTTAAATGTAAAAAGAAAAAGAGAGAAAATAAAGCAGCTGACTGAAATAACTTCACATAGTATCAAAATAAAAGTCATAATACAACAATAATATAATAATATGATATAAGGACTGAATTCACCCATCCACATTGGTAAAACTGCTGAGGAACAGTCAAAAGAAAACAACAAAGAGCCCAAGGCGATGACCTGACCAGACTTCCTATATCCTAGTCTATCTGTGCATCTGTATGATGCACTGGAACAAGCTGAGGCACAGAGACCCTACCCCGCAACCAACAGGACCAGAAGGATTAACTGGCACAAGAAGGTGGGTTTGTTGCTGACTTCATTTTCATAATAAGATCTTTTTTTTTTTTCACTTTAGAATTCGCCTTTTAAAAAGTTCTATTGTGGCATTTCACATAATTTAAGGCAAGTTTTATTTATTAAGTGAAAGAAGCTATTGCAAACAGGTCTGGACTTGCTGATCTTTCCATCAGTCCTATTATCATGAACACGGCACACAGAACATCAGTGAAGAATTTCTTCAACTCTTTTCTTGGAAATACTCAGAGGTGGAAGGTCACAAGGTTAGCTAGTGGGCTGTGTTCTGAAGGTAGAGCAGGTTGCACACTAATCGAAGGGTCATTGGCTTGATGACTGACTCCCTCAAACTGCATGCTGATTGCACCTGATGCATGCATTAGTTTGTGAGTGGAAAGTTTACTGGTGGAGGCCACTGACATCTTTTCTGATGTTGTTGTTGCTGTTTTTTTCCACCATTTTTTGTTGTTGTCGTCTTTGCATTTTGCATTTTGCTAGGGTCAGTGTCGCCGCTGGTAGCAAGGAGGAACAAGATGAGCCTACAAAACGACCTCCAGCAGGGTCGTGGTGTAAATATCTCTGACCAAACAATCAGAAACAGACTTCCCAAGGGTGGTCTGAGGGCCTAACATCCTCTAGTGGGCCCTGTGCTCACTGTTCAGCACCATGGAGCCCAACTGGCATTTACCACAGAATACCAGAATTGGTAGGTCTACCACTGGCATCCTGTGGTTTTCACAGATGAGAACAGGTTCACTTTTTTTTTCTTTGGCTCTCGGAGGAGGCGGACGCACTTTTTCTCCTCTCCCTTATCTTCCCTGCTTATGTCCTTGTCTAGTATTGAGAGTGGAGAGATATTTTGCTGCTATTGTTAATAATCATCATCATTACCATTGCATTATTAATATAATTTACAGTATTGATAGTGCATTCAGATGTTTAAACATTTTGGTACCCAATTAGCCTTTAAGATAAGAGATAAGATAAGATAGAACTTTATTAATCCCTCGGGTGGGTTCCTCTGGGAAATTCGATTTCCAAAAAGCGCAGCACCGACAGAAGTTACAGTTACAGAATATTATATATATATTAGGGGTGCAACGATATTCGTATCGATATTGAACCGTTCGATACAGTGCTTTCGGTTCGGTACGCATATGTATCGAACAATACAATTTTTAAAAAAAAT